AGTACATTTCTCTGTAAAGGTTTTACTGTTCCATAAAAAGGAAAATATTTGTAGTTGAGACCTTTGTTCACTCATTACTTAGCAAGGATACTTACTGAAAATCATATAGCATAAGAAAAAGGTGTACACCAGGACCAGCAGTTGGCATAATGGCTGTATCACTGGACTCCCATGTAGTCAACAGTGGTTCGAGTCCGGGACGTCATGGCTTAAACTCACGCTGGGCACATGTGCGTGCATGCCCAAAATCCTGAGAGGAGAATGGAGTAGAAGGGATTGCAGCATGGCCATCCCTCCTGAGGGGTGATTTCTTGCTTCTTTCTCTCTCTGTCTCTCTGGCTAGCACATGCACCCTGTAGCAAAAACCTCTCCAAAAGAAAAAAAAAAAGAAAGAAAGAAAGAAAGAAAGAAAGAAAGAAAGAAAGAAAGAAAGAAAGGAAAAGAAGAAAATACTGTACACCAACTCCTGTCTTCCGAGGGTTGAGTTGTACGAGTCACAGGGACATGGCCAAATGGGGGTTCTCTGCTTGAGGGACAGAGAGGGCCTCCTGGGCGCACTTTACTTATGCTGTGACTTGTACTTTACTTCTTTTTTTTTTTTTTTGGAGAGATTTTTGCTATAGGCACATATGCTTGCCAGAAAGACAGATAGAGATAGACAGAAAGCAAGAATTCACCCCCTAGAAGTCTGGCCACGCTGCAATCCTTTCTTCTTCTCTTGGGATCTTGGGCACACACGCACATGCGCCCGGCATGAGTTTAAGCCACCAGGTCTGGGACTCGAACCGCGGTCAAGCACATGGGAGTCCAGCAACATAGCCATTACGCCAACTGCTGGTCCAACTTGTGCTTTATAGCTCTAACAGAGCAAAGATGTGTTTTAGTTTTCTTTACACCCTGGGGTCCCTTATGTTTTGGTTTATTCTTAACTACTCCAACTTCTTTCCATAGAGGGGATAGGTGTGATCACAGAAATAAAGAAATAAGGGAAGAAACACTCTGAGCTTCTATCCTATGGGAGCTGCTAAGGGCACAGGCGTGGGTTTTCCCCAACCCGACCTCAAAGGCACGACTCTGCAAAAGCCCACGCCACTGGTTATTTCTCTTAGCTTATCCTCAACTCCAGATCCTATAATTTAAAGCACCTTTAATTATCTGGCTGCTGAAACCACCCCCTCGTAACTGACTCTGGTTAAGCCAGCACTTTAGGGGCATTCTCTTCATCCTCTTTTGGCTTTTTCAGTACTTACAGCCTTCTTCTCAGTCCCACTTCATTGATGAAAAAACTGAGGCTAACAGAGTTCATGTAACTTGCCCCATGTGTATTTAACTTGGGTGGGAACGGAGCCAAAGTTCCCTGATTTACAATCTATGGTCTCTGTGCTCTCCAGGTGTCTGGTTCTGGATCAATAGCCCTCGTTCCCAGGCTTCTGGTCTTGGAGTGACTGGTGTGGGAGGACAGGCTTGGACAATCCACACTTACTTGCATGGTTGATGCCCAAGTCTCTGCAACACTGCCAAGGTGGGGAGCAGCACTGGGTTGCCCCAGGCCAGCAGGGAGGGATGGTCGGGAGGAAGACCTCCAGTCTGAGGTCTAGCAATTACTGTGTTAAGCACTTGACCCGTTAGCCAGTGAGGGGTGAATTGTACCCATTTTCCAGATGAAGGAACTGCGGTTCTCAGAGGTGGTCTACCACCCGAGAGGCTGAAGTTGGAGTCATAAGTCTGTCTGTTACCAAAACCAGATCTGAGGTAAGTACCAAAGAGGTGGTACTCTAAGAAAAGGTAAAGACTGGTGACACCCGCTTGCTAATCCGACTTGTTCCCAAATGACGCCCTGAGAACACCCCCGCGCTGTGCATGGCTGTCGTGGGACCTACAGGAGCTTAGGGGATGTCTGAGCTGAGCGGTCCTCGCATAGGCCCCATGCTGCTGCCGCCTTGCTCTCGGAACACGATGCCAAAGCTGACTTCTGAGAAACAGGTACAACTACTCTCTTGAGAGGGTAGCGCCCTTCCCAAACCTGGCTGAGCCCCAGAATCACCTGGGGTGCTTAAAAAAGTACAGCTTGCCTGGGCCCCACGCCAACTTTGGAGCCGGGCTCTGCTTCTCTAGGTGCTCCTCAGGAGTGAACTGCAGCTCAGGGAGGGATTTCTTGTCGGCACCTGGTGCTAGCCTAGTGAGATGGGTGTCACCCTTTTCATCTGACAGGCAGTGGACATGCAGAGCTGAGTGGCAGCCAGTGGTCTTGAAGGGATGTGATAGGAGGGGACAAGAAGGGTCTCACTGACCAAGAACCCTACGTGTGGATCCACCGTTGAGCATCACCTCTGAGCCTCAACTGCTACATTTGAACAGCGGGCACAGTAATCCCCATTACATGGTAAGGAGGTGGAATTCCCACCTCTAAGGGCCATATGATTAAATGCAAGAACAGAAGCAAAGGGCTGAACAGGAGCCTGGCCCAAACAAGTCCTCAGAAAATGATGGCCACTAAATGGAGGCGACAGCCATGGTGACCTTCATGGGCTTTGGACCCAAGCTCCTTCACTTGTACATAGCGGTGCTTCCCAACCCGAGGGAGAAGACATTATCAAGTGGTTGGTCACATTGCAACTTTAGCAGTGTGTCTGCAGAGGGCCAGGAGGGCTCCTCTGCAGGTCTACAGAGGGCCAGGTGAGCCCCTCTGTATCAGGGCTTCCTTAGCCCAGGCCCATGCTCTGGTTCTGGTCAGCAGTGAGGCAGAGACATGGCACCTGCGCTCCAGTCTGCCAGCCCAGTTGCCGTTCATGAGCTAGAAACAGCTCAGGACGCCAGGCAGACGCTTCTCATCCACACCCTTCCCAGGGTTCCCAAAGGCATGATAATGCGCTCATGGACCAAGTCCTTCACTTACACAGATACTGCGAGTGAGTTTGACAGGGAAGAGATGGCTTAAAAACTGCTGGGGAGGGACCAGCAGTTAGCTTAATGGCTATGTTATTGAACTCCCATATAGTCAACCACAGTTTGAGTCCCAGACCCGGTGGCTTAAACTCACGCTGGGCACGTGTGTGTGTGCCCAAGATCCCAAGAATAGAGAAGGGATTGTGGCGTGGACATCCCCCCTGAGGGGTGATCTCTTGCTTTCTGTCTCTGTCTTTCTGGTGAGCGCACGTGCCTTATGGCCAAAACCTCTCAAAACAAACAAAAAACTGCTGGGGAAGCACTCTTGAGAAAGTGACACACACCCCACCTCATGCCAGCAGCTCCTTTCACAATCTCACTGAGTGCTTGCCTCCTCCCTTTGGAGGGTGTTATGTTAGGACTGAGCCTGGGGCCAGATCTGGTTAGACAGGACCATCTTGGACTCCACTCAAGGGTTTTTTTCCCCCCAATATTTACTAAAGTAGCCAATAGCTGAGTAAAGGAGATGGTTAAACTTGGTACAGGTGTGTGGCTATGGCTCCCTAGGCCGTCCTCAGGCGTCATGGCAGCCTTGGTGGAGTGGGGCAGCTAAGAGGGCAGGTCTGTGGGCTCCTGCCTCACATGACCTCCATCACATCACCCCAGGACCCTCACTCCCACAAAAATGACACAGCTTGGGAAGTTGCCTTACCTGGGCTACATGTCCGGGTTTCTGACTCTGACCCCTTGTTTTGCTGGTGGCTCCTCCCCTCACCAGAGTTGCAGGGCGGGAACTGGGGTAGGGCTGCCCTCACCAGCCTCTGATCTCAGGATGGTCCACAGACCACCCTAATGGCCTTTCCCACTTCCAGTGAGTGCTCCGGTTGGCTAGGATCAGATCCCACACTTATTATTTTTTTAAATTTTGCTAGAGGATGTGTGGGGTTGCTAGAAAGAAAAAGAGGGAGATTCTCATGCCACAATCCCTTCATTTTTCCTTTTGGGATTTTGGGCACATGCTCACATGTATGTACCGTGTGTGTTCCAAGCTGCTGGATCCAGGACTAGAACCACAGTTGGCCATGTGCATCCAGTCTGCCTTAACCACACCATCAGCTAGCCTAGATTCCATTTTGAAGCCTCTCCACTCTGCAGTTCCATCTCTGGTGGTGACCACACCCCAGCCATGCCAGACTGCTGTCTGCCCTGCTGTTCCTGTTTCTCTGGAGGTACAGGCTGGAATCAGGACCTCCTGCATCTGAAAGTTGCTTCTCAGATTATTTCCCAGCTGAGCAATCTTGCGTAAGTCCTTCTGAGGCCTCAACATTCTGCTGGGGCTGAGGCTGAACTCCACCTACACCCAGGACAGCAGCTTTGAAGGGACGACTAAGTGCTACCTGGCCTCAGAGCACTCCTCCAGCCTTCCTTTCCTTGGCACCCTCCCTGAGAATGAGAAAATGACAGCCTCTCTTGCAGGACTGCAGAGGCGACCAGGGGCACCATCCAGTGAGGAGGGTCTTGACAGCTGCCTCTTTTCCTTTCCTATTTTTCAGCAACCTCTGTCCTCCAAAGTCAAGCTCCAGCCTTTCTTCTTTCAAACCTCCCTGAATCCTGCTCTCCTTTCTGGCCACTGAGGCCTCCCTCAGCCACTGATGGTTACCTACCTGACTTCCATTAGGACTTGGGATGCATTATGTCAGATGCACCCTCCAGTCGTGACTGGGGCATCTACCTTATCTGTTCTAGAACTGTAGACTGGTTGTACCTCAGACGAACCTCAAACACTTGTCAACCTGCTTGGTCAGAGCCTGAGTCAGTAGCGCTCCTGAGAAAGGGTCCTAAGTCCCTGCAGACTGAAGTCCCAGCCAGGTCACTTGGTCTTTCTCAGTGTGGCTGGCATTGGGAGAAAGGAGGAGAAAAAAGTCACTTCTTGACTCCTCCTCTCTACAAAGGGCAAGTTTCCTCGTGTGCCAGGGAGTGGCTGCCTGCCTCACACTCCAGCAGGGCACAGAGAGGGCGGGCCCATGCACTTCCGGAAAAAAGTCTCTAGAAGGAGGAAGTAAGGATATGGGCAGATCAGAGTAAATTGTTTCAAGAACCCAGGCAACTAAGACTTTAAGTAACAAATGTAATTTTAATTGGTCTCTGATAAAAACTACTCAGGGAAAGCCAGTAATTGTCTCAGTCCCTCATCTGCGAGACCCAGAACCCGAACAGCCCTGAAGAAAGGGGTTAGCTGGTTATTTTCACTATTGTACATCATCCACAGTATTAGAAAAACAAGGCATTATACATCAGTTTAGGTTCAATGTGTGGCTGGCAGCCAAATCCAGTCTCTCATATTCCATATTTTTTCTTGAGCTCTTCTACTTTGTCGATATAAGCTTTCATGGCATCTTCCTTGGAAGTCCCTGCAAGGAATCAATAGGACGATTTATCAGGGAGGCAGTAGGGCCCCAACAGCCCTGGTTTAACTCTCCGAGGCCGTTTCTCACCTGTAAGGTGGGGTCCTAAACCTACACCTTAAGAGAACTGCTGAGGATTAAAGGACCTGAGTGCGGCCAGGCAGTGTTGCAGGCTATGTAACTGGACCCACGTGTAAAAGGTTCTGGCTTCATGTCCTGGGAACTCCCTGAGCATGCCAAGTGTGCATGTGCTTGTGACCCAGGGCTGGCTGAAGCTGGGGATGGACTGTGGTGTGGGGACCCTAGTGAGGGTGCTGTCTCTCTCTCATGGAAGAAATCAATAAATAAACCTAAGCTAACAAAAACCTCAGGAGCCTGGCCCATAGCAGATGCTCTATAAACCTCCAGCTCACAATGTGCGGAGGGGGCAGTCTGGGGCCTGACTGCTGGCTACACGCATTCCTCACCCAGTGGGGGAGCGGTCAGTGTAAGCCTCTCCCATGCTGGGCTTGGCCTCCCACGCAGGAAACTGTCACCACAGTGAAGTCACTTGTCCTGTTGACTCATGGCTGGCTTTGTCCTATCAAATGTTTCTGTGTCAGGCTCCTATCTCCCAGAGCTGTTAAGCTGGCAGTGAATAAAGCCAGGCATCTCTGTCTCCCCAGAGAAGAACTACAAGAAAAGTTTTGAGGGCAGCTGGGACTTGAAGGGGAATGAGGCAAGTTTTCCTCTTCCTGCTGCAGTATAAAGAAAACTGAATATATCCCTTGGGGACAGTAACACCCAATTTCCTGGATTCTATGGTGAAGGAGAGGGACCTCTGGGATTTGAAGCTTATGGGGAGGTGGAGAGCACGAGGCCTGAGAATGGAGGGGAGAGGCCTCCTGCAAATGGACAGGAGACGGGCATTCTCTTTCCAGTTACTTGCAAATCCTAGGAGTGCATTTACTGTATTGTGTCCCTCTCTGAATTCAAGGGTTTTCATGTGCAGGAAGACAGAGTACTTATTCAGAAACCAGCCAGTGAGAACAAAAGCTGCCAGGCACTTTGGTGCCAACTTTTGGGTCCTGCTGCCGCAGGTGGCACATGATTCAGTAGGAGCTCGGCTACTTCTTGGCTGCAGTTGCTCAGCACATAATAGCTCCATTCACTGAGCCTACGTGTGCCAGCGGCTTGCCATGCATTAGCTCATCCCCTCTTTTCTGTGTGCTTCTGGCTCGAAGGGAACTGGGGAGGCCTACTTGGGCCAGGAGGTCACTGGCTGACCTTGTCGGGAAGAGGGAGGTGTGGGCAAGAACCCACCCTTAATGTGAACACATTTAAAAGCCCATACCAACTACATCACTCCCCTGGGCCTGTCCCCTTAGCCCCTGCTCTCCAGATGATATCCTGCTCAGAGACGGGGGTTTTAGAAAAGGCGTACCCAGTATTAGGAGAAAAAGTAGGTGGCCCAGTTGTGTCCCCATTCTGGTACAGGTCAGGCTGGTTTCCAGCATGTGCATCACTCACTTCGTTTTCTCCCCTCACCCCTTAATACTCCAAAAATGAAGAGTCTGTCATGACTGGGATCCTCAAATGAGGGAAACCGGTGAGAGTAATTACCTTTCAGCTCATTCCAGGCATCCCACTTGGCCTTGCCCTTGAGGTCCAACATCCCTGGTCGCTCTTAAACGAGGAAAGGAAGGACATTAGATCTGCTTCAAGTTTTTTTTTTTTTTTAAATAATTCTTTTATTTAACTATTTATTTATTTATTTTAATGTGACCAGAGAGGGAGAGAGAGAAAGAAAACTGCCATGTCCAGGATTCAAACTGCAGTCAGCCATGTGGGTGTCCAGTACCCTTAATCACCACGCCGCCTGCTGGCCCCAGATCTGCTTCAAGTTTTAACAGAGAATTTGACCAATATCCTAAATCATTTTTTTTTTTTTTTCAGAGAGAGATTTTGGCTATAGGGTATGTGAGCTTGCTGGAGAGACAGACAGATAGAAAGCGAGAGATCACCCCCAGGGGGGATGGCCACGCTGCAATCCCTTCTCCTCTGGGGATTTTGGGCACGTATGCACACGTGCCTGTCATGAGTTTAAGCTGCTGGGTCCGGGACTTGAACTGTGGTCAGCTACATAGGAGTCCAGCAATGTAACCATTCCACCACCTGCTGGTCCCCTGAGAAAACACCTTTTATTATATCTATTCCTTCTAGGCTCCAGCATGGAGTTAAATAGGTTTGGACAGTAGAATTTGCCTTAAGAAACCCAGATGTAGACAATCCAAACTTAGAATCCAGAAAAAATAGGTAGAAAACTGTTGTCTTACAAGTTAAATAACTCCAACACTTCTTTTAAAAATTGTACTTTAGGGGACAGAGGGTGGTACAGTGGAAGCACAATGCTCTGCAAGGCTGACCCACAGGGAGAGGTTCTAGACTCACACCAGAAATCTCCCTGGACACGCTGGACGTGTGCAAGTCTGTGATTTGGACTGGCTGAAGCTGGGGGTAGACTGTAGTTTGGGGAACCATTGTTGCCCTCCTTAGCCCTTATGCTCTAAAACAAAGAGTCTGTCATCACTAGGCTTTACAAATGAGGGAATCTGATGAGAATAATTACCTGTTTTTCTGTCTCTATTGCTTGTAGAAGAAATAACTGAATAAACGTTTAAAAATTGTAGTTCAGTTGTAAAAAACCAAAAATGTTTTAGAATAGCCTCCCACACGGCTGGAAACTGCAAAGTTACAAAGAACAACACTGTAACATCTCTTTTCCATCCCTGCTCTCCTTCCTCCGTTTCTCCCCCAGTGCATGACTGCTATTAGTCTTCTGGGTATCCTTGGCTAAACTGTCTGTTCATATCCTTGCTCCATTTTTCTACCAAGTTGTTTCTACTTCTCGTTGATTTGTGGGAGTTCTCACCCAGGGCAAGGTTCTCCTTAGGCAATACTGTGACACCATGTGGCGGGGAAAACACTCACTACCTCCCTGCTGTCCTGCTTCACTGCCAGGCTGAGCGCAAAGCCAAGGGGAGCTATCGCAGTGTCTGCAGCCTGGGCGCTTTCTGGGATGCATTCCCAGGGAAACTGGAAAAACACCATGCCTCCAGAGCCACCACCTGACTCCCCTCCGCAGCGTGCCTAGCAGTCCTTTCTGCACCGACGGAAATGTACATTTTTAACACCCAATTCAGAAACCACCTGCCACACGTGGCAACTGAGCCCCTGAAATGTGACTGTGTAGCTTAAGACTGAACTTTCGATTTTAACTAGTCTTAATTAAAATTTAAATAGCCACATATGGCTGTGGCTACTATACTGAATTGCACAGCCTTAAGTAAAAAAGCCCCCTGATCAGGAGGTGGTAGGGTCCCATGACCTCTATCTACACGTGTGTGAAAGGAGGTAGCTCCTGCAGGGGCACAGGTCAGTCTGACAAAATACCGTGAGGCAGAAAAGCATCTTAGCCCTTTTGTCTGCTCCCACTTGGTTTGTTTCCCCCACAGGGAGCATACAGTTTATATATCTACTGGAAAGCTCATCTTCACCACTTGAGCTTCCTTCTTCAACCTCCTCTTATGAACTTTAAGGTCTGACTTGGCACTGCTGATCTTTAACTCCGGGCACACCTCCTGCTCCTTGTGGGTGGCCGCCAGCCCACCTGTTCCACCCCCACTCCAACTATAGTGGAATTAGGGGCCATGCTTGCTCTCTTCCTGGACGGGAGAAGGGGGATTTCCTATGCTGCCGTGGCCATCAACTCTTGAGTCCTGGCTGGGAATGCACTGGAAAAGCATTCCACAGTCCAGAGCACAGTCTGAAAATCTATACCAAGCTATCTGGGTAGGGGACAAATGGTCACCAGGAAGGTACGGGCTGTTGTCAGCAAAAACGCTTCCGATTGCCCCAAGAAGCCAGGTGCTTCTCTGCTCCTGGCATTAGGCTTGGCCAGGCTTCCAAGTGCTCTGACTTTGATCTTGCCCACTTAGGGCTGAAGCAGTTTAGCTCAACAAAGCCAATACCCAGCTGAGAGCCTAGAGCAAGCAAGTCTCATCCAAGTTGCTTAATCTCCAGCAGAAGAGAGGTGCTGGTGATGATCAGTAAGGCCCTTCTGAAAACCAGGACTTGAATGCAGCTACCTGAGCCACTGAGAATCCAGGAACATGGTCTCTGGAGGAACTTCCCTTGTTTAAGCTCCAGAACAGCTACCAAGCTTCCCCTGAAGAGGAGGGCCTCCTAGGTGGTTTGAGAGTGGTGTTCCAACACACTCCCAATCAAGGCTGCTGAACATGCTTTGATGAGCAGGGGCCCTCCCAATCTCGGTGCAGCATACCTGTGTTAATGTCACCCACAGTTGCTTGCTTGTAGTGGCTGTAGATAAACAGCATCTCACTGTCCCCTGGTTTGGTCTTGAGGTGCTTAACCTCCTCAGCGGCTTTCTCAAACTCAGCCTAAGTGGGAGGGAGAGGAGAGGAGAGGAATGAGGACCTTTTTCAGGTGGAAGAGGGTGGAGGTCCTGCTCAGTCTTAGCAGAGCTCGGTGATGGAGACAGAGAGGTAGCACGTCTCCTTCTCCCCAAGGGCACCTAGAAAAATTCAGTAGCACAAGCAGGAAACACAGCAGCTCAATCATGCAATGGACAACCAGGTATCAGGTGCTCTTCCTACAGCAGGTAGCAGGCCCTGAACTAAAGCCATAGGATGCAGGCCAAGACCTTGCATGCAGTGGACCGCCATTGGAAGAGTAAGCTGGGTGGCCTACTGCCTGACAACTACTGGGCCAGACCCAGGAACAGCGGGGTCCCAGCTAAGTCCTGACCTGTGGACAGAGTGGCACAGCTCCAAACAGCTGAGAAAGGCACAGGGCAAGAAGGAAGCAGTGTCAGCAGCTGGAGCCCACAAGGCCCCCTCCCCGGTAGGCCGACTGCCCAGACCTCTGTCCCAGTGTCCAAATGGAAAGGAGCAGTCAGGAGAAGCCATGGGCAGTTTCCATAGCTTGGCCCCTGCCAAGGTCTTCCACTGGAGGGGAAAGGAGGGGAAGGGAGGCAGGGAGGGAAGGAAAAGGAAGGCCTCGCCTCTATGTGACCTCTGCCTGGGTCATGACCTGTCCCACCCCGCCTCCACTAGCACATCATGCAGTCAGCCCCTACTTCTCTGACCTCCAAGCTCCCAGGCACAGCCTCTCTGTTGCCCGACTTGGCTGTGGCGCTCCTAATCCAGCCCCGTCCTTCTGAAGGGGGGTGGGGGGCTCAGTTTCCTTGCTCCTTCAATCTGAGCAAACCCTCTCCTCCCATTCCTACCCCTGCTTCACAACGAAGTTGACCCTATAGGCAACTCTCCAGCAGTTGTGGAGTGGGTAGTCGCAGTTTTAGAAATCCCCACATGGAAAGTTCTGCTCACATGCTGTGTCTACAGAATCAGGGCGTGGGCACCCGGCCAGGAGGAACTGCTAGACATTCAAGGAAGGACACCGAGGTTCTGCCCGTCGACGACCCCACACCGGCCTCCCGCCAGCTGCACCCTCACACCTGCTGGGACGCTAGTACCTGAGACATGCTGGCGGAGTTGCAAGGATTCCTGGATGACTGCGGAGGAGGCTGGGAGCTCAAGCTACTGCCTTAAGACCGGACGGGCAACCTCCTTTAGAGCCGCTGCCGCAGGCGGTCCATTTTCGGGGCGGGCGGGCGGCAGCCAATCAGAAGCCAGCTCTTCGTTGGGGGCGTGCCCAGCCTCCGCAGCAGCGCCCGCTCCGCCGGCACCCACGTGGGCCGGTTAGCGCATGCGCGGCGGGAGCCGAAGGGGACGACGGGAACAGGTGCGGACCGCGGAAGTAGGGCTCTGCGCTAGTGAGGGACTGTTCAGTCCTGGGCCGATGTGTGAACCGGCCCCCAGGGAAAGTGGGAGAGGGCAGCGGCAGAAAGGCCGAGGCCTCTAAGTTGTCTTAAGTCTGGTGGCCAGCTTGAAGAGGCTGGAGGTTACTTCTCTGACCCAGTAACCTGTCTATGCTGGCGAGGGAACGGGGCCAATGGGGGTCTAGAACAGACCCTGCAGGGGTGGGCCCTAGTGAGCTGCGCGATGGTGGGAAAGTGGACTGGTTCCCGGAAAGGCGGAGCCATAGGCCTCGTCCTCTATACTTTTGGCGTGTTCAGATGACCCTGTAGTCGTAGAACTTCTAGTGAAAATAGCAGTTAATGCAGAAGTTCAGGAGAGGGTCGTCTAGAGTTGGAAGTTTACAGCTTTAAGGCTGTGTGTGTGTGTTCACAGAGGGTTTTGAGCAGGATGGTGTGACTGGAGAGGGGGAGATCTTTTGCAGAGTTGTTTCAGAAGCTGATCTCCATGGGAGCAGAAGAGAGCAGCAATTCAGGAAGATGGAGGAGTTTGCCAGTGATGTTGAAGCCACTAAAGGAAGAATTTTTTATGGCAGTGGTTATAAAGGAGTTGGGAGATGGGAGAGAAGAGATGGGAAATTCTCTGGAAATCATTAAAAAGGAGATCATTCTCCAGTTTCTCATTTGTGGCAGGAGGGCTGCACTACCTCCATCCTCCCTTCCCTTGTTTATATCTGTAGGGTGTTTACAAAGAAATACCTGAGTTTTTAAAAAATGTGTTTATTGCTGGACTCTCATTTATTCTGGTGGGAAGCCTTTAGACTTGGCTTCCTGACTTTAATGTGGGTTAGACTTTTGAAATGTTAGGAAGGAGGTGGAGACACGGTAACAGGGAACACACGTAGTGTTCAGTCTATGAATAATTAATTTTGTGTGAGAATGGAAAACCAAGAAAGTTAGTGTATCTTGGGATTAAATTTGGAGAAATTACACTTGAAGTATAAGACGTGCAGGTTTCTAAAATGACAGTTTAGAGTTGCCTTTTCATTCAAGGCTGAGACAAGACCAGGCTCTCCTTTGCTGCACTTGGTGCTTACAACTTCATTGATGGAAGCTCCGATTATTGCCTGTGTGGCTCAGATTTACAGCTATGGGTATCTCCTAGTTAGTAGGTTTTCACATTAGGTTATTGGCAAAGACACTTGGAAAAGGTTAAGTACTTCTGTAATTTTCTTTAACATTTACCAGATATCATTTGGTATGACTAAGTTTGATGGCAGAGTCACATGATTAATATTGTACAAAGCGGGGCTAATTTTTGCCATTAACTTGGCAGTTTCCCTTTTAAGTAGTTTTTATTGTTGGTTACTGGTTTGAAATACATTTTTGTTAAAAAAAAATTTCTACATAGTGATTTTGTCCTCTGGTGAGTCTTTAAAAGTCACTTAAAGCAGCCGAAGTATGGGACCAGTAAGAACTGGGGGCTCCAGGAAGTAGGGTGCTAGTGATCTTGACGAGAAGGAGGAAGAAGGGTGTTTTTCCTGGTTTCAGAGCCTATCGTTGGCTAGATTTCCAAATGCCTAAAGAAACATCTCTGGCACACACTGCCTCCTTACGTCGTTTGTCTTGGACCTCTGTAGAAATGCTTCCTTAAAGCTTCCCCACCCCACCACTTAGCACTTTTACTTTTGGAAGCAGGGATGGCATTCAGCAAGCTGGCATCTAGGATTTTAAAGAATCATAAATGGGTTTATTGCTGGACTTGCAATTCTTTTTAGGTTTATTTTATT